TGTCAAAATCAATCCCCGAGAATTCCAACTGCGAGGCTATTTCGTTTTAATTTGGAAGATGTTTGCTATTTTGATGTGGTTCAGAGTCGTCTGAAGAAGGTAGGTCAGAGAACTTGAAATATTTAGATAAAGGAACCATCTAGGCCTAAAGCAACACCCTAGATCCTTCAGAACCTGCCAAGGCAAAAATAAAGTGTTTTGAGAGGTTTCATGATGTCTACTGACATATACATCAGGATAAGCAACAAAAATCAGAAGCACTTGAGCAGTTTTTTGCTATCTGCACTGTAAGAAATAAACCCCAGCATTTTCAAGGAACCAGGATTCATAGGAACATTGGCTCCTCATCTGACCCATAAAGCCAAGGAAGAGCACAGCCAATTTGAGAAGCATGATGGCAGAATCTCAGTGACTTGTTGTCATGTACTGTCACCCTGATGGTTTTTCATGATGTAGTGCTCCTTGTCCCTCTCTCCTGAGATCTTAATATTGTCTCCACTGAATTACCATTGGTTCTTTCACTCATTCTACCATTATAATCACCTGTGCCTACAACTCTGTATTGTTTGTCATTACTATTTCCAGAATGAGTCCTAATAACATAATAAAAACAAAATAGAAAATAGTCCCACTTTTGAATAATGACAATATATGCATCCTCAGTGTTTCACTTGTATGAAGTCCCAGACTTAATATGTTCTTACAGGCACATGAAAAAGCATGACATTATCTTTTTTTTTTTTTTTTTTTTTTTTGGAGAAAGAGTCTCGCTTTGTCACCCAGACTGGAGTGCAGTGGCATGATCTCGGCTCACTGCAACCTCCACCTTCTGGGTTAAAGTGATTCTCCTGCCTAAGCCTCCTGAGTAGATGGGACTACAGGCGCACGCCACTGTGCCTAATTTTTTGTACTTTTAGTAGAGATGGGGTTTCACCACGTTAGCCAGGATGGTCTCAATCTCTGGACCTTGTGACCCGCCCACCTCGGAATCCCAAAATGCTGGAATCACAGGCATGAGCCTCCGCACTCAGCCGACATTATTTTCTTTCTCTTTTTCCCTTTTTTGAGATGGGGGTCTCACTCTGCTATATAGGCTGCAGTGCAGTGACACAATCATAGCTCACTACAGCCTGGAACTCCTGAGATGAAGTAATCCTCTTAACTAAGCCTCCTGAGAAGCTAGGTCTACAGCTGCACACTGCTACACTCAGCTAATTAATTTTTTTTTTTTTTTCTTTTGTAGAGATGAGGTGCTGGTCTTGAACTCCTGGCCTCAAGTGATCCTACCACCTCAGCCTCCCAAAGTGCTAGGATTACAAACCTGAGGCACCACACCTGGCCAATACTGTATTTGTTCATAAGATGAGGTATGTTCTTTCACATATTCTTTCATATATTCTTTTTAATTTAGAATGTCATGAGGGACATGTGTATTCCTGCAGTCCTTCTCAGGAAAAACTTTTAAAATCTTCCTAAAGTATTACCCTGAGAACACAATAAAGAATATTGTCACTTTCATCTGTGGAAGTAAAAATGCACAAGTACTGTGTAAGTCCTAATTAACCCAGGAAAATCCAATTTTTTTTATTACATGAATTCATTTTAGACTAGTTTAAATTGTAAAATTGGAAGATGACAAGAGTCAGTTCTACTTCGAAGTTTTCAAACTACATTTGTTGTTTGTATATCTGAAACCGTATTTGCTGTTTCATGATCCACAATCACCTCACCAGGTTTTACTGTTTTTGTATATAAAAAACGAAATATGAAGGTGATAGAACAAAAGTAAATCCACAATTATCCACTCAGTAACACTGCTCCTACATAATCAATTGGGAAGCAAAATGAAAAACACTTCAGTCTTAATTTTTCAGCCTCTACTAATTATGGCTTCTTAGCTAGCAGTTTATCTTCAGATTCTTAAGACTGTCATAAAATATCACATATGAAAATTAATGATGGCCAGGCATGGTGGCTCGTGCCTGTAATCCCTAAACTTTGGGAGGTTGAAGTGGGAGGATCACTTGAGGTCAGGAGTTGAAGACCAGCCTGGCCAATATGGTGAAACCCCATCTCTATTAAAAATACAAAAATTAGCCAGGCATGGTGACATTTGCCTGTAATCTCAGCTACTAGGGAAACTGAGACAGGAGAATGGCTTAAACCCGGGAGGTGGAGGCTGCAGTAAGCCCTGATTACGCCACTGCACTTCAGCCTCTGTGACAAAGCAAGACTCCATCTCAAAAAAAAAATATTAATGATTATACCAACCCCTTAAAAATGTTAATGAATATCAGCCTTTCATTAGTGAAAAATAGATTAGTCATCAGATTTCAAATGCAGGTTTCATTATTTGAAAAACAACAAAACTAAGAAACTAGAGAATATAAATAATCCTTACTAGATAATTACCATCACTAGATTTTAAAAGGAAAGTACAAAATAAAGTATCACTATATGAAACTTTAGTGTTTTCTCCTCAATATACTAAATCTTCATTTTAGGCTAAAAATCTTTATCATTCCTATTTTCCATAAGATAATTTTTACTTGCAATTCCTTTAAGTATATCATAATTATAGATTCAAAACCTTTTATGTCACATGAAGTACAGATCAACCGGCTACTTAACAAAATTGCAGTTGCTGGATGGCCTGTAATCAGACTGGCAACTTCAAATTGCTGGTCACCTTTGTATGAGTAAGGTCCAAGATTTGTGTTGACCACACATTGACGAGACCCAGGTGTAGGGCCTATGGAATATGAGTGGTGGACTGGTTTGTGGGTTTGAGGGTCTGGGTAGGAGAGTATAAATTCTTCTTTGTGCAAAGTGTAGGAGTGCAACACTGAAGACAGGCTTAGTCTATGTATGGCCTCCCCCACTCCCTCTTCAACTGAAGCTGGGGAGAATGGTCATTTTTTTAATGTTATGGTATATGCCAGTATAATTGCATTAAATAAAAACAATAAGGGAACTAACTAAAACAAACAAAAAATGCTGTGAGCTGGGACTTGGTATATCAGAGTTCTACTACAACCTGGCTGCCAACATTCTCTGAGACTTTGAACAATTCACTTATCCTGTGCCTTAGTTTCTTCATTTAAAATGAAGAAAATAAGGGCTGGCCACAATAGCCTATGCTTCTAATTCCAGCACTTTGGGAGGCCAAGGCAGGAGTATCGCTTGAAGCCAATAGTCTGAGATCACCCTGGGCAACATAGCAAGACCCTATCTCTACAATAGTTTTTGGTTTTTTGTTTGTTTGGGTTTTTGTTTTTTTGTTTTTTGGGCTTTTTTATTAGCCAGGTATGGTAGTACATACCTATGGTCCTAGCTACTTGGAGACCTGAGGAAGGAGGATCACTTGAGCTCAAGTTATGGGGAGAAATGGCAGATATAGGTGACAGGGGGATGGAGGCAGCAAACCACCTCGCCATGTATGTACCTATGCAACAATCCTGCATGATTTGCACATGTACCCCAGAACCTAAAGTACAATTTAAAAAAAAAGTTATAGGGAGCTATTATTGTGCCACTGCATCCCAGCCTGGGCCCCAAAGAAAGACTTTCTCTCAATCGATCAATCAAAGAAAATAAGACAGTCCTGCCCCATCTCACTGACTATTGTAATAAAAGTGACATAATATGTGAATAAGGCACTTAGAGCTATAAAGAGGTTTTTTTTTTTTCTAATGCAAGAAACTATTATAAATATTTATAGTGTTCTGGTGCTATACTGTCAATGGACACAAATGATCTAAGGTTCATACAGCTTCTTACAGATGAAACATGCATGGCACTTTGCTCACTAATAAGAATAAATCAGTCTGATCCAAATAGCACAGTTTTAGTTTTTATTAGATGACTAGAACTCTGTAAATATTTAGTAATTGGTAAAGGAAGGTTAAGTATATTTTAACTCTTAATTCCAAGTAAAGACAATGCAATAAATTTAAAATGTAGATATGTTTATAAACAGAATATATCACATAACTGTAGATACCAACCTATTTTTTATGAATATGGAGGGATAAAATTGGTATTTCTCTCTTTCCATTTGAAAAATATTCCAAAAGCAACACAAGGAATGAAAAACGGTAACCCCATTTTGAAAGAAACTAGGAGACAAACCACAAAACAAGTAAAAAGCCTGCCAAAAGCAATGGAGATGAAATAGGAACGTATGGTGTAGGCAGCATAGAAAGAATGCTCCAGTTGCAAATGGCAGAAAAAACAAAGTCTACTTCTTGAAGTTGATGGGAACACTGTAAGGTATAAAACACTTGTTCATATCAAAGTGCACAGGATGACAGCTAGAGATTTCCTAAATGTGGTTTGGTTCCAAGAAGCAGACAGAACAATGCTAAGTAAGGAATCACACTAACTATATTTGCAGAGAGAAATCTGTCTCTGTGGCTACACGAGACAAAAGACTTTGTACCACAGAACTCCCCAAAGTTGTCTATCTCCATTGGCTGGGACACGATAAAAGATAGACAGAATTTTTTAAATCTACAGCCAAAACAGAACTTTCACAAGAAAACTGTTGGTATAGAACTGATAAAAATCATGACAAGGCCGGGCGCGGTGGCTCAAGCCTGTAATCACAGCACTTTGGGAGGCCGAGGCGGGTGGATCACGAGGTCAAGAGATCGAGACCATCCTGGTCAACGTGGTGAAACCCCGTCTCTACTAAAAGTACAAAAAATCAGCTGGGCATGGTGGTGCGTGCCTGTAATCCCGGCTACTCAGGAGGCTGAGGCAGGAGAATTGCCTGAACCCAGGAGGCGGAGGTTGCGGTGAGCCGAGATTGCGCCATTGCACTCCAGCCTGGGTAACATGAGTGAAACTCCGTCTCAAAAAAAAAAAAATCATGACAAATACTCCACCATTAATGAAACTATGCAATCAACTCTAATTTGAAGTTTTTAAAAATATATAATTATAAAATTGTATTGACTAGAACAATAATGAATAAACTCGTATAATCAATCTCTTACCTCTGATTGATATTTTATTTTTTCTTCTTCTAAAATACGTGCAAACTCTTCCTTCTGGTGTTCAAATTCTGACTTCAGAAATGTATGTTCATAGCGAAGCTTATTATATACAGCTCTATACTTTTCCACCTCCTAAATTAAAGGAAGAATGCAATTTATCACAGATTTATAAACAAAATTTGCACTCACTCCAATAATCGCTTTTACAAATATAATTTTAAATTACATTATAGTGACAGCAATTCTAAAAGTAAAAAATAAATTTATCAGAAATAAAAATGAATTTGGAAAAGTCCTCGTAACAGGTATTACACATATGGAATTAGTACATTCCTGAAAAGATACCAAAAAAGTAAATTACCATTCAATTAATCTTATTTCTTCATTGGTTCTCATTATAATAAAAGTGTATAGTACGAGGAAAGTGTTGATCTCTGGGCTTAAATAAACTAACATGTAAGAATGTTGCACACCTTTCAAAAAACAGCTAGATTTTAAAAATGTATAAGTTAGTGTAAGTCAAACAAATTCAAGAGATAAAAGGTTATTTTAATATTTAGTACAGCATCTTAACATCTAATTAAATATTACAATGATAGTTCAACTCAACGCACCAACCTGAAGAAAACATGCAGCAACATCTCTACTAACTAACCAGGAACACAAGCAATTTCCTGATGTGCTCTCATCCTGCTTCCTAACAGTACTCTATGAAGCCGCTGACATTCTGAATACTCAATAAGAAACTCAGGCAACAGAGCAGAAAGATACAGGAGACACTAACAGGAAATTAGATAACAAGGAAAGCATGTCTCCTAAAATAATACCCAGTTCACCATAAATCTTTAGTTGAAAGACTTCTAAGCTGGATTATAAACCAAGAAGATGGATTTCATGATTTTACTACAGATATACTTTGCTATGATTTAAAAAAAACTTTTATTGAACTTGATCACTTACCTTGGGTCTGAATAATTTTGTTTATTTACAAAAATTAAATCTACTCCCAAACCGTAATGGCTTGCTACCAGGAATGTACTGGAAAGATCATATTATCAAACCAATAAGCCATTATAAAAGAGGATTCTACAGCTGTTTTGGGCAATGACCACATCACTTGACTATAGCTCTCCAAAGGGGCCCATTTTGAAGGGGACAATAATCATTTGTATGTATAAGGCCAGGTATATTTGTTAAATAAGGTAACATATATAAAATGTCTAGCAATTGTCTACTATACTTTTTTTTTTTTTGGAGACACAGCCTCACTCTATCACCAGGCTGGAGTGCTGTGGCGCAATCCCGGCTCACTGCAACTTCCACTTTTCAGTTTCAAGCAATTCTCCTGCCTCAGCCTCCCGAGTAGCTGAGACTACAGGCACGCACCACCACACTGGCTAATTTTTTTGTATTTTTAGTAGAGATGGGGTTTCACCATGTTGGCTAGGATGGTCTCGGTCTCGTGACCTTGTGATCTGCCCACCTCAGCCTCCCAAACTGCTGGGATTACAGGCGTGAGCCACCGTGCCTGGCCTAATATACTTATTATCTGCAGTCTTATCCTGTCCCCTTTATTAAGCATTCAGTCACGTTACATCAACACTTCACTAAAGGAGATTAGTCTCAGCCTGAAGTAAAACTGTAACAGATTTTTATTTTTATGAAGTGGCACGACACTCATTCTCTCATTCAACAAATATTAATTGAGCACCTACTGTATACCAAAATCTGTTCTAGGAATTTGGAATATAACAATTAACAAAACAGGTAAAGGTTCCTCCTCTCATGCAACTTCCATTCTAGAGGTGGTAAAACAGAAAATAAACACAATAAATAAGTAAATGATATAGCATAGAAGGTATGTATCATAAAAAAATTAAAAATAGAGCAAGATAAGGGGGATCTAAAGGTCTAAGCAATAATGGGAAAGGCAGGTTGCAATATTAAATAGGTAGATTGGGAGCAGTCAAAGTAGTCCCCATTGAGAAAGTGAAATTTTAGCAAAGTCTTAGAAGAGATGGTTAGCCGCGACATATCTGGAGGGAGAGTACTCAAGGCAAAAGAGATGCACCAATTCGGCTGGAGGCGGTGGCTCACGCCTGCAATCCCACCACTTTGGGAGGCCAAGGCAGGCAGATTACTTGAGGTCAGGAGTTTGAAATCAGTCTGGCTAACATCGTGAAACCCCATTTCTCCTAAAAGTACAAAAATTAGCCAAGCATGGTGGTGCACCTGCAATCCCAGCTACTCAGGAGGCTGAGGCAGGAGAATCGCTTGAACTCGGGAGGCAGAGGTTGCAGTGAGCCAAGATTGCGCCACTGCACTCCAGGCTGGGCAATAGAGCCAGGCTCTGTCTCAAAATATTTTTTAAAAAATTATTTAAAAAATAAAAAATAAAAGCAAAAAAGAAATGCACCAGTTCTGGAGTGCCAAAGAAATATCAGTAAGCCAATGTGAAAAAAGGAAAAGAGATCAGAGAAGTAATAGGAGTCCAATCCTGTGAAGCCTTAGAAGCCACTGTAATGACTGAGTTAAAAGGGGAACTACTGCAGGGTTTTGGGTTAGGGAAATGATGCTTTTCATCAAGACTTTGATCCCAAGAGGATAAATGCATAGTAAACAACATAAGTTACTTACTTCATCCAGAGTCCGAAAACGTTCTCTCATTGGAGTTTCTAATTCTTGTTGTATTTGGGCTCTTAGCAATTCCAATTTTTGTGGAGTTAATATCTAGTATGTAGAGAAATGCAAACAATTCCAAATATAAAATCATATTAAAATCAATAATTCTCCATGTTTCAAAGCCTCTCTTCTAATTATGACAATGGAATTCATGAAAGTTTTCACAATATAGTTATTTTTACAGTGATCACTATACAAATAGAGTCATCATTTGAAATAACACTTTAAGAATCTCAATTTCAGGCTCTCAGAGATGTCAAAAATTACATTAACATGAAGTGAAGACAGTTACAGATTATCACTGCTATTGTTGGGAATAACCATGTTGGCAGCTAAGGCTATCATGCTGTAAACAATGGCTGATGGTCCAGTTATTTTACCAAGCAGGCAAAATAAAGGTGTAACAATTTGTTATGCCAAAGAGAACCTTTCAGACTTATTTTCCGTTAGAAAAGGCTCATTTTTACTCTCACACTGAACCTAATTTAGGCTTCTCTTTGTCACACTCTCTTATAGAACTCATAATTTAATGAATAAAAAAATATTTATGTAAGTCCCATATGGGAAGACACAGTCTTTATTCACCACTGTATGCCCAATATCTACCACCAATGTCTGGCACATAGGAACCACTCAATTACTATTTCATGAATGAATGAAAAAAAAAATCTGAAAGTTTGTATTCATATTAATTTCTATAAAAATCATAATGTTCTATAATAGTCCAAATATTATATTCATAATATTACATTTTACTGAATGACAGCTTACTATAAAGCATTATACAATGCACTGTAACCTACATACCATCCTGTTTTAAGCACCTTACATGCATTAATTAATTCCTACAACAATCCCACAATGTAGCTACACTGAGGCATACAAGGTGTTCAAATAACTTTATAAAGATCACAAAAACTCACATGATGCATATATCTCCCCATAAAAATTTCAAACTCTGGTATTAAAAATAACTCATATACACAAAAAACTGTAAAAGTAGGCAATACAGGCTTACTAGACAGGTAAAAAAGAGAAAACACATTTAGAATAGAAAGAATGATGCATCAAAGGAATGGGAAAACTAAAACTTACATAGAACCCAAACTCAAGCCAATTAACATTTTAATTTACCTGGGTGTCAGAGGCTGTATGAGAGAAAAGGGATTCTCAAAGGTGAGTTAAAGCCATTTTGCATGGGACCACATTAAGTACTACAGAAAATTTAAAATTGTGGGTCCCTACGTTCACACTGGTAGAAATCTCTAAACACTGTAACATTTCTAAATGCTACCTTGGAGGGTTACACCCTGGCTGGGAACAAAAGGAAAACAGGTCGCAGCCAGAGTGAAAAGTTCCTGAATACCAGTTTAGACTCTTATTATTTATTCAGTATTCAACAGTATTTAATTTGAAAATTTATTTTGTTTAAAATTAATATATATAATTACATAAATAAAACAGTTCAAACAAAACAAAAGATTAAAAAGTCTTCTCACTTCAGTAATTCAATTTCTTTCTATTAAAGCAATCATTGTTAGTAACTTATGTACCCTTCTAAAACAATCTATAGATACACAAGCATATATATCAGCTTTGATTTTCACACAAAAAGGATATTGTGCATATATTTTTCTATACCTTATTTATTGAAGGTTTTTAAGCTTAAGAGTGACACTATGATATCTATATTTCACAAAGAAGCAAGATGAATCAAAAGCTTTAGTGAATGAAGCCAAAGAAATGAGATAGAAAGCTCATGTCATAATCTGGTTTATGGTATCAATTCTGGGTGACAGTATCAAGAGTCCAAACTAAGATGAGGTAACAATTCAAAGGAAGAGATTAATAGGTAAAGCTTATTTGGTTCCTGTTTCAAATGATCTAACTTCAAAACTAAGGAAGCAAAATCATGGGAAAATTAAGAAAATCTGAACAAAGATGGAATAGTAAAAGGTATTAAGGAATAAGTATTTTAAATATAGTAAAGGTATTATGGTTATGTTTCTAAGAGAGGCTGCACTGGTTTGTTATAGAGATATACACTCAATTATTTGTTGAAATAATATAAAAACAATCCAGAGACATTGAGGAAAAAAGTAGGGGTGGGCGGCAGAAAGTAGTAGATAAAACAAGCCTGGCTCAGAGAGAATAATTATTGATGCTGGATGACAGGTACATGGGGATGTGTTACATGTTTGAGATTTCCAAAACTGAAAGTTAACTGAAAGTAAAAAGCCTTCTACTTTCAGCCACGATAGATTAAGTGTCCAGATTCAGTCTCCTGCCTGAAATAAACAAAAGAATAGACAAAAATTAAACAGTTTGCAAGACACTGGACATAAGAAAGAAAAGACAGATCTCTGAGAGGCACAAAACATAGAAGATGAGCTTTGAGAGTTTTCAGGACCTGGCACAGGAAAGGATACCCACACAGTCATGATGCACTCCCTGAGTTGAGGAGATAAAACTTAGCATCCAGGGACACTAGAGTGGTTAGAATCCTAAGACAGGGTAGCAGAGAAAAGAGGACAGAGAAAAAGAACTAAGAAAATCTACAAAAGGCTGGGTGCGGTGGCTCATACCTGTAATCCCGGCACTTTGGGAGGCCATGGCAGGCTGATCACAAGGTCAGGAGATCAAGACCATCCTGACCAAGATGGTGAACCCCATCTCTAATAAAAATACAAACATTAGCTAGGTGTGGTGGCACATGCCTGTAATCCCAGGCTGAGGCAGAAGGATCGCTTGAACCTGGGAGGCAGAGATTACGGTGAGCCGAGATCGCACCACTGCACTCCAGCCTGGCAACAGAGTAAGACTGCCAAAAAAAAAAGGAAAAAGAAAACCTACAAAGACTCTTGGCTCATTCAGTAGAGTATTGATTAGCACATGTGTCCAAGGAAACTCCCTATGGCTAGTCAAAGAAACACCTGAAAAGATGAGAAGGATGAATACACAGAGCTCACAAAGCTAAGAATAGTTTCTGTTCCCAAAAATCAGATTAAAATCCTCCATTTCATAAAGAAATTGTTACAATACTCAGAAGAGTCTCGCCTCAGTGGTGGGAAATAATTATCACTACACTAAATACTAGTCTGCTCCTATTTAAATCCTAAAAGCAAGACCCAAAAAGATAAAACTGTTTCCAAGTAATTTAACTGTGTCCAAAAATAAAGCTCAACAACATTTACCAAAATACAAAAATATTGGAAGGTGGGGATTGCAGTGGTCCGAGATCGCTCCACTACACTCCAGCCTGGGCAACAAGAGCGAAACTCCATCTCAAAAAAAAAAAAAAAAAAAAAGTCCAGCATTTTGAAAATAAAGTTCACAGTATCTAACATCCAATAAAAATTTACTAGGCATACAAAGAAGCATGGGGGGGGAGGGAGAGGGAGGGGGGGAGGGAGGGGGGGAGAGAGGGAGAGAGAGAGAGAGAGAGAGAGAGAGAGAGAGAGAGTGTGTGTGTGTGTGTGTCTGTGTCTGTCTGTCTGGAGGAATAAGCTTAAAATAGGCCCAGAAATGACATAGATGTCATTAAAACTTTATCGTATAGTAATTGTAACTAAATTCCGTATGTTCAAAAGACTAAAGAAAAGACCGAACATGTTAGGTAAAGATAAGGATGATACAAAAAGATCAAAATTGAACTTCCAGAAATGAAAACTACAATTTACGAGATGAAAATTACACTGCCTGGAATTGACAGCAGGTTAGATACCGCAGAAGACAAAATCAATGAATCTGAAAACATGGCAACAGAAAGTAACCAAAAGGAAGCCCAGAGGCAAAAATACAAAAAATAAATTAATAAACATCAGCAAGCTATGGGAGAACTTTAGTGGTCTAATATTAGAATATAATTAAGAGTCTCCAAAGGAGGTAAAAGAGGAGGTAGAAAATATTTTTAGAAGTAATCTCCAAAAATTTTCCAAGTTTGATAAAGACTGTAAAACCAGAGACCTACAGAACTCAACAAACCCCAAGCACTATAGATACAAAGAAAACTACAAAGTATGACAATAAAATTGCTTAAAACCAGCAATAAAGAGAACAGCAGCCAAAAAACCAGACACAATACATTACAAAGAACAAAGATAACCTGTGCCCACTACCCTGTAGAGTAATGCGGCTGCACAATACCCAAGAGGCTCCCAATACTACATGTTCAGTTACACCATAGATGCCTCTTGGAAACAGTGCTTTAAATCCTTTAATGGTGTGCACCTCACCATTGGTCTGTGCCACCTAACAGCATACAACAGTTTAAGGGTCTTCTGATCTGAGATCTCTGACAAAGGATCTCTATTTTTATTTTTTTTTGAGATGGAGTCTCACTCTACCGCCTAGGCTGGAGTGCAGTGGCGTGATCTCTGCTCACTGCAACCTCCACCTCCCAGGTTCAAGCAATTCTCCCACCTCAGCCCCCAGGCTGGAGTGCAGTGGCATGATCTCGTCTATCACTGCAATCCCTGCCTCCAGGTTCAAGCAATTCTTGTGCCTCACCCTACCCAGTAGCTGAAACAGCAGGCATGCGCCACCACCCCCTGCATGTATATTTTTAATAGAGACAGGGTTTCACCATGTTGGCCAGGCTGGTCAGATGCAAAACTCCTGACCTCAGGTGATCCACACACCTAGGCCTTCCAAAGTTCTAGGATTACAGGCACGAGCCATTGCACCCAGCAGTCTTAGACTTATAAAGGAATATTGCCACTACTTGTCTCCAAAGAAACTTGTAAGAATGCTTTATCATACAACAGTCTAGTGTCATTACCTGTTTTAAAATCTATAAAAACAAATCTTTAACATTGCAGCACTTGCCATTTAACAATCTAAAATAAACCAGTCTTTTACAAAGAATACTTTAAGAAGGCAACTATTGCTGTGCCAAAAATTCTTAATTAATGACTGAAACTGAGTATTGTGTTTTGATCTGAGCTTCCCAGCAGCCAAAACAAAATGGGAAACTGTATACTGGGTTATATAGTTTTCATTAGCACAAAAAGAGCATATTAATCATTGGTAATTTTCACTTAGTTTTATTAGAATATATCAAATGATCCCCCATATTTAAAAAGGTTTTGCTAAAATGGTACATGGTAACACAATAACAACTACATATACTGACCACTTACTAGATCAAAGCATCATACTCATACTTTTTTTTTTTTTTTTTTAAAGAGTCAGGGTCTCTCATTGTTGCCCAGGGTAAAGTGTGGTGGTGTAATCATGGCTCCCTGAAGCCTCAAACTCCTAAGCTTAAACAAGTTTCCTGTCTCAGCCTCTTTACTAGCTGGGACTACAGGTGCATGCCACTATGTCAGCCTAATTTATTTTATTTTATTTTTTAGAGACAGAGTCTCACTATGTTACCAAGGCTGGTCTCAAACTCCTAGCCTAAAGTGATCCTCCTGCCTCTGCCTCCCAAAGTGCTCAAGGTGGGAGCCACCATGCTTGGCCTGAACTAACACTTTCTATGCATCGTCTCACTTCATCCTTACAGTCAACCTATGAGCTAGGCACTATTATCATTCCCATTCACTACTGATGTAGAAATGTTCTTTAAATGAGTACCTCCCCTTTTCCTATAAAAGCCAAATAGATGACATTAAATCTCAGAAAAGGCATTTTTGTAGGCAGACTAGATAATGCATGTATATTTTTTAAATAATCATCTTTCATAAACCTTCATTGAAATATTTCTTGATCTTAGTTGAATTTACTTATTGTAACTTTTCTAAACTTACAATTTGCACAAATTGCAAGCATCCATTAAACAAATAGCTAAATTGTTTTAAAATATGTTTACATGTGTAAATGTTTCTTTAGCTTATTTTTGCCAAATAAATATCACATAGAAACTAGATACATTTATCTTAAAAAACAGAGGCCTTATCAGATAAATTATATTTGTGAGCAAACATATGGGAGGTTTTCACATGGAGGAGCATCCAAAGTTACCAACATGGAGGCCACAGGGTGGATGACTTCATTTTAATATGAGAGAGAAATGTTTAACATACTTTAATCCATAAATACAATTGGATCACTTTAAAAGTTCACTAGGTTCTCTAGCACTGAAAGCACTGAAGCAGAGAATGAAGAGAGTCCTGTCTGAAAGACATTCTAAAAATGATTCTGCTTTGGAGAGTATATTAGTTTCCTAGGTTGCCATAGTAAAATACCAGAAACTACATGGCTTTAAATAACAGAAGTTTGTTCTTTCACAGTTTTGGAGGCTATTAATCTGAAATCAAGGTGTTGGCAGCCCTTGCTCCCTCTAAAATCTGTAGGGAAGAATCTTGCCTTGCCTCTTTCTAGTTTCTGGAGCACTTCAATCTCTGCCTCCACCATCACATAGTGTTCCCCTCAGCCCCATTTGTCACCATCTCTCTTCTCCTCTTTAAGGACACCAGTAATATTGAGTTAAAGGCCCATCATACTCCAATATGACCTCATCAACTTAACTAAGTACATCTGTAATGACCCTACATCCAAATAAGGTCACATTCTGAGATAGTAGGAGTTAGGACTTCAACATATCCTGGCTGGGAATACGACTCAACCCATAACAGATTCAAAGAAAAACTAGAAGATTACCAGCTCTAAGATGCTGAGGCTCTAGGTACGTTTGACATAGAAAGTGCAATATATGAACAACAATTCCACTCCATTCATTTATTTCCAATTTTCATGTCATTTATCCAACAAATAGGTGTTTGCTAGGCATTATCCTAAACACTGAAGACACACTTAAAAAAAGTCCCTGCCCTCATGGAGCCTGAATTCAAATAAACATGTCATCATTTGTGAATATTTACTATGTGCCCTTATGGTAGTAAAAATGTAGATGTTATCTCACTACACCTCACAGCCCTTAAGCAGATTCTTTTACCCCTTTTACCACATGAGAAAACTAGACATAGAGACATAGTTTTTGAAGGTATCATCTTCTGGAAGAATTGACCTTTTTTTCATTATAAAACATCATTTTTTATCTTTAGTGATACTCTCTGTCTGGAATTCTTTTATATCAGGTATTATTATAGCTACTCCAGCCTTCTGGATGTGCTTTACTTACTTTCTGGATGTGCTTGGTACAAATAATCACGTTTAGATGTCACTCTCACGAAATAGAATAATTAAATTTGCAATACCTGAAGAATCTCTTGGGTTCAGCATTCACAGATTCCATTCATACAACAGATTCTCAATTTTTGCAAAACAAATTAATGCACTGATTCTATAGGCTTAAATTACATTTCCCTCTTCAATTTACACTTCGGAGGTTAAATGTCCCAAATATACCTAGGAGTGAAACAGTGAGCATAGTGGAGTCTCCAAGCCAGGCTTAGAGGTGTTCCCAGCAATGGTAGATTTCAAGAAGTTATTGAATGACAAACTTACAAGGCTTCTGTCAAAGGATATCTAAGAGTTGGGTGATATGCCAGACTACGTGACTTGAAAGATGCTTTCTTACTCTATGAACTTCTGACTCTAATATTAACAATACCTTACCATTTATGCCAAGCAGATTGTTAGGCAGAAATAAATAGCTGGTGCTCTTCAGAACTTACATAATTACAGAAAAATACCATTTGTGAGAACCTACTAATTTGAAATTTATAGGAAATTTAACTGGAGTTACAGTCTGGTTTTGCTGAATAGTGTGAAAATTATCTAAAGAAGCTGTACTTCGGCCAGGCATGGTGGCTCACGCCTATAATCCCAGCACTTTGGGAGGCCAAGGCGGGCAGGTGTGGAGGTCAAGAGATCGAGATCATCCTGCTCAACAAGGTGAAACCCCGACTCTACTAAAAATACAAAAATTAGCTGGGCGTGGTGACACACACCTCTAGTTCCAGTTATTCAGGAGGCTGAGACAAGAGAATCCCTTGAACCCAGGAGGCAGAGGCTGCAGTGAGCTGAGATCGTGCCACTAAACTCTAGCCTGTTTGTAAAGCAAAAGATAGTTGGCTCTGAAGTACTACAGCACTTCAGTACTTTTGCCAGCTATCTTTTGCTTTACAAACCCATTTGCTTTACAATGTACACATAGATTATATGCACATACTGTTTTTACAGTCTCTTTTAAGAAGCTCCTTAATAACAGCTAAGTCTTTTTTAGCTTACTTTCAGTTATAATGCATATATAAACATTAGTAAATATTTCTTTTAAAAAATTAGTTAATTCTAATTTTTATCAATGCAAACTCACTTCTTCCCTTGTTCTTAATAGTAAAATATTATTCATATCAGAATAGTAATATATTAACAACTTACATAAAATAACAGTTTCATGGCTACCTTATGTGGTAGCTAACATTCTAAAATATTTGAAGGAAGATTAAACTGTACCACTTGGAGATACAGCAAAGTAATCATTAAGGATATAGACAGAAATTACCAAATTCACCAAAACTATTTACTTCCATTATGTATCTGACTACTTTCAAACTAACTCAAATGTATTTTCTCACCTGCAGTTTCATTTCTTCTAAGTCTTTAGTTTTCTCTACTAACTCTTCTCTTAGTTCTTGAAGCAGCAGCTGAAGTTTTTCCTGGTGAATTTGCTTTTCATTTAACAGGTGCTTGAGTTCATTTTGTGACTTTACATATTCATTCTGCAACCTGATTTTTAAAAATAGAATTCAATTTTGAGTAAATCCTTTCTTTCTAACTGCATGACTTTATGTAAAGTCAATCAACACTACAGAAAAACAAGACCAATATCACAAATTCCTTTAAACCTACAAATATCTTTTCTTTACAGAGTTTCATTTAATTATTAACACTGTAGCTTTGGGATGCAATTTTACCTTGGTGGGAAATGGGGAGCACATTTAGCCGTCTGGATACATTTAATTTAACACGACTGGCCACTTTCAGAATAAGACTTATAAATTTATAATCCACTCGATACCATATTTAGTTTGCAACAAAATAACTTTTAAGTGAAAATTTTACTATATTAAAAAAGTTTTAAACGTATACATTGCAAAATAAGAAAATTATACTATATTCTATAGGAAACATTCAGCCACGATAATTCCAATAATGTTTTTAAACCAAAACTCCCACTTCTAGATTTAAGTATTTTACCTTGTATGTTCGGCTTTCAGAGTCTGATAATTAGCTTTATGATGCTCACATCGTAACCTTTCATCAATTAACATTTTCTGGAACTCCGACTGAGAATCTGTCAATCCACTGTCTCCACCAGGAGGCAAATTATTGGGAAAAGTGTCCATATCGGTAAATGTGCTGACAACCATGTAAAAATAAGTTTTGGCTTTCTTATTATTTTAGTTTTCTGTCCAAGAGTATCTCCCACTCCTTTCTTGCTAAGGTAGAATCTCAGGTCAAATTATACCTGCACAGAGAAATAAACATAGTTTGCAATCAGTAAACATAAGCTTCCTTTAGTGATACTTTTATCACTTTTATTATTCTTTTTTTTTTTTTTTTTTTTTTTTTGAGAAGGAGTCTCACTCTGTTACCCAGGTTGGAGTGCAATGCTGCCATCTCAGCTCACTGCAACCTCCACCTCCAGGATTCAAGAGATTATGCTGCCTCAACTTCCTGAGTAACCAGGATTACAGGTACCTACCACTATGCCCGGCTAATTTTTTTATTTTTAGTGGAGATGGGGTTTCACCATGCTGGCCAGGCTGGTCTCGAAATCCTGACCTCAGGCAATCCACTCACCTTGGCCTCTCAAAGTGCTGGCATTATAGGCGTGAGCCACTGTGCCCAGCCCCTCCTTATTTTTATTACAAAGCCCAATTTTCAGATTTTAATTGTTCATAAAACAAAATGCAAATATAAAGCTGAATTGCGCCTTGAAAAATTTTCACCTCCATTCAGCTTCTGTGACCATCAAAATCACATCTTCAAGTATTCACCTAGTTCCACTAGAACCATAGACTCTTCCCTTTTAGGGAGTTTTTTTTTTCCTCATGTCCTTTTTCCTTTCACCTTCCTAGATTCCACTCCACCTCCCACCATCACTCCACCTTTCCACACTTGGCCTGTCACTGCCATGTTCCTTTTCCTCCTTCACCTCTCCATGCCTTCTACCAAAAGTGTCCAGTTACTATCACTCTGCCTGGTTCTAGCCACTTCATAAGCTTTCCAGTGGCTCATCTGTTGGCCTTCCACTCTTCCTTCATAATGAGATTATAATTTTTTTTAATAATTCTTAAGAATATCACAAAGTTACGTCATTCATCATCTGATTATCTCTCTAACCCTTCATACTCTCTTCCAGCAACGCTGATCAATTTTTATTTCTCATGCTGGCTCCTAACCCTTGCCCATGCAATTCTTTATGTTTAAAATATTCTCCTTTCTACTTTCATTTACCTGGGCATGCATCCAACTCCAGTTCACTTTTGACATCTTGCATAGATATCTCTTTGTGTAGGAACACTGGTTTGAATGTCCTTCCTACGTCTTTGCATTCCTACAGACTTCCTCTCAGATGACTTATCGCTATATTGTTTTATTTCTTTATTTATTCTAATACATATTTTATTGCGTTTTAGGTTTTGGGGCACATGTGAAGAACATGCAAAATTGTTGCATATGCATATACATGGCAATGTGGTTTGCTGCCTTCTTCCCCATCACCTATATGTGACATTTCTCCCCATTTTATCCCTCCCAACTCCCCCGTCACTCCCCTAGTTTCCCCCCTACAGACCCCAATGTGTGATGCTCCCCTCCCTGTGTCCATGTGTTCTCATTGTTCAACATCCGCCTATGAATGAGAACATGCAGTGTTTGATTTTCTGTTCTTGCGTCAGTTTGCTGACTATGTCTTTTGATTGGGGCATTTAGCCCATTTACATTTAGGGTTAATATTGTTATGTGTGAATTTGATCCTGCCATTTTGATCCTAGCTGGTTGTTTTGCCTGTTAGTTGATGCAGTTTCTTCATTATGTCGATACACTCCCATTTGGTGCGTTTTTGGAGCAGCTGGTACTGGTTGTTCCTTTCTGTTTAGTGCTTCTTTCAGGAGCTCTCATAAAGCAGGCCTGGTGGTGATGAAACCTCTGAGTAATTAATTGCTTGTTCATAAAGGATTTTACTGCTCCTTCACTTACGAAACTTAGTTTAGCTGGATATGAAATCCTAGATAGAAAGTTCTTTTCTTTAAGGATGCTGAATACCGGCCCCCACTCTCTTCTGGCTTGTAGGCTGCTGAGAGATCCACTGTGAGTCTGATGGGCTTCCCTTTGTGGGTAATCCGACCTTTCTCTCTGGCTGCCCTTAGCATTTTCTCCTTCATTTCAACCCTGGTGAATCTGACTATTATGTGCGTTGAGGTTGCTCTTCTTGAGGGACATATTTGTGATGTTCTCTGTATTTCCTGGACTTGAATATTGGCCTGCCTTGCTAAGTTGGGGTAATTTTCCTGGATATTCTGAAGAGTGTGTTCCAGCTTGGATTCATTCACTCCATCACATTCAGGTATACCTATCAAACGTACATTAGGTCTTTTCACATAATCCCATATTTCTTGGAGGCTTTTTTTGTTTCTTTTTACTCTTTCTTCTCTAATCTTGCCTTCTCGTTTTATTTCACTGAGTTCATCTTCGATCTCTGATATCCTTTCTTCTGCTTGGTCAATTTGGCTATTGAAATTTGTGTATGCTTTGCGAAGTTCTCATGTTGCATTTTTCAGTTCAATCAATTCATTTATGTTCCTCTCTAAGCTGTTTATTCTTGTTAGCATTTCATCAAACCTTTTTTCAAGGTTCTTAGTTTCTTTGCATTGGGATAGAACATGTTCTTTTAGCTCAGATAAGTTTATTATCCACCTTCTGAAGCCTGTTTCTGTTAATTCATCAGACTCCTTCTCCATCCAGCGTTGTTCCCTTGCTGATGAGGAGCTGTGATCCCTTGCAGGAAGAGAGGCATTCTGGTTTTGGGTGTTTTCATTCTTTTTGCGCTGGTTTGCTTTCATCTTTGTGGATTTATTTACCTGTGGTCTTTGTAGTGAGTGACTTTCAGATGGGGTCTCTGAGTGGACATCCTGTTTGTTGATGATGAAGTTATTTCTTTCTGTTTCTTAGTTTTTCTTCTAACAGTCAAGGCCCCTCTGCTGTAGGACTGCTAGAGGTCCACTCCAGACCCTGCTTGCCTGGGGCTCACCTGCAGTGGCTGCAAAACAGTGAGGGTTGCTGCCAGTTTCTTCTTCTGCTATCTTTGTCCCAGAGGACACCTGCCAGATGTCAGTCTGAGCTCTCCTTTATGAGTTGACTCTTTGGATATACGGGGGTCGGGGAGCTACTTGAGGAGACAGTCTGTCCTTTACAGGAGCTCAAGTGCTAATAAGCTGTGAGTCTGCTGCAGCAGAACTCATAACAGCCTTTTTTCCCCAGGTGCTCTGTCCCAGGAAGGTAGGGCTTTATTTATAAGTTTCTGTCGTGCTGCCGCCTTTTTTCAGGGATGCCCTGCCCCGCGAGGAGACAGGCTAGTCACACTCTGCCAGCAGAGGCGTTGCTGATCTGCTGTGGGCTCCACCCAGCTGCCATGTGAACTTCCATGCAGTCCTGTTTATAGGGGTATAGTTAGAACTGCCTCAGCAATGGCAGACTGCCTTAGCAATGGTGGACTACCTCAGTAGTGGTGGTCTGCCTCAGTAATGGTGGACACCTCTCCTCCACAGAGCTGGACTGCCCCTGGATTCAGCTGTCCTTGCTGTGAAACTCTCAATCCAGAGCGTTTCAGATTGCTGGTGTTTGTGGGGATGGGACCGGCCGTGCCTGATCACCTGGCTCCCTGCCTCAGACCCCCTTTTTTTTATTCAGCTGAACAGGCAACTCTGTCTCCCAAGCATTCCAGTTACCAGTTCAAACAGTGTCCAGATTTGTGTGAATTCTTGTGCAGAGACCTGCTATGCCGGCGGAAACAGCCATACTGGGGGCTCGTGGCACTTTTTCGCCTGGGAATCTCTTGGCCTGGCTCCCTGTTTCAGTCCCCTTTTTTTCAGTTGAATGGGCGACTCTGTCTCCCAGGCGTTCCAGTTGCCAGATTTGTGAGATTTTGTGCGGAGACCCGCTGCGCCGGCTGTGCTGGAGGTGCTTTTCCACCCAGGAATCTCCTGGCCTGACTTCCTGTTTCAGTCCCCTTTTCATCAGCTGAATGGGTGACTCTGTCTCCCAGGCATTCCAGTCGCCTGTTGAAAAGGCACCCAGATTTGTGTGAGATTTTGTGTGGAGACTCGCTGTGCCAGCTGAAACAGCCGCGCTGGAGACTAATGGCACTTTTTCACCCGGGAATCTCCTGGCCTGGCTCCCTATTTCAGTCCCCTTTTTATCAGTTGAACAGGCAACTCTGTCTCCCAGGTGTTCAAGTCACCAGCTGAAACGGGGCCTGGACCCGTGTGAGTTTTTTGAGCGGACAGCCGCGCTGGAGACCTGTGACACTCCTCCATCTGGGAATCTCCTGGTCTGTGGGCAATAAAAATCTGTCTGGAAATGCAGCAACCACTTACCCTCCACGCACTCACTGGGAGCTGCAATCCAGAGCTGCTCCTACTCGGCCATCTTGGATCCCCTAACTCTCATTTAGGTAGTCTTAAATTTACAAACCAGAGTCATGTTTCCTGAAGCTACTGCAGTAAGCTTCAAGTGTATATTCTGGTACAAAATTCATATTCCCTAATCAGGTTAAAACCCATTGGAACTTGGTAGCTGCCTGGAGAGAATCAAGGTCTTCAAAAGGTGACCTTCAGCACATAACTATGTCTATGATTAACACTTTGAAGGGTCTTTTATTTGACACAAGGCAAGCTGCAACCAGCCTGCAGATTCTGATGAGAAGTTAGTCAACACATAAATACTGATCAACTTCTATGTGTTATACACTGCAGTAAGAACAGAAAACTAAATCATCTCACCTATCTCCAAAAGCACTGACCCAGTATTATGAAAATCACTGTTTATTTCATCTAGAAGTAAAAAAAAAAAAAAAAAAAAAAAAATGATGTTTTAAAGTGTTCTTTTAACTAAGAACAAAAATTTTAATTACAATAGTTTTGTCTCCTTTAACTTCATTACTCTTTCTCTAGTCCCCATTATACACATATTTTTTTTCCTGATAGAATCTTCCTTAGTCATGGGTCTTTACAAATCACTTCTTATAACAAAAAAATATATTTGCCCTATGCAAATCAGCCATTAAATTACTGTCTTGCTTGAATTATAACATCTCTGATAAATTAGTGTGATATCTATGTATTACTTAATACAACTTTTAAACTATAATTGCAGTTGCTTTGGTTTCCTTTGAAATTATATTTTAATGGGGGGGGGGAAGCCCCTGAAGAACACTATATTCCTTACTCTTAGGTTAAACATGCACTAAGATTCAACCTTTGTAAACACAGAGTGAGCTATCTGTAGCAGCCACCACAAAATTATCCTGCCAAAAATATACCTTTGCCAAGGA